ACTCCTGCCCACACAGCCTGTGTCCAGCCCTCATCAATCCCTTGAGGGACCAGTCACATGTCTGCTCCATGACACTGCCTGTGGGCAGGTTCCCATCAGCTCCAAGTTCTCAACCAGCAAACAAGGCACAGACTCTGCCTTTCATCCGGGACAGACACAGTCTAGGCTTCCAGGTGGCCACCTGCCTCCTGCTTTCATGGGGAGGTGGCCTATGGGCTATCCTAGGCCTGAGGAGAAGGGACCCCAGGTCCCCTGAGACCAGGGCTGCTTCACAGCAGTCAGGCTTCTGGGGGACTCAGGTGGACCAAGGCTGGAGGGGCCTCTGCTCTTGGGGGAAGAAGAGGGGTCTGCAGGGGCACTGACGGCCTGAAGGGAGGAGGATACAGGCCAGGTGGATGCTAACCTCGGGGACAGCTGTGCCTTTGAAAACAGCATGGTCCCTCCACATCTCTAGTGCCTTCCATCACTCCTTCCTCAGTCATTACTGTGTCCCCAGGATGTGCAAGGCTCTGTCCTGGGCCCAGAGGGACAGAAATGAAGCAGCCCCACCCTTGCCCACAGGAGCTCACGGTCTGGTGGCTGGTCTGATGTGGATACCTGTGGGGCATTGAAGGTAAATGTCATCTTCAGGGGGTGTGGCAGGTGTCCTGATAAAGCAGGACAATAGCCAAGGACAGAGACTGGCCCCGGCAGGGAGCCAGAGAGCTGGGTGAGGAAGAGGAAAAAGCAGAGCCAAGAAAGGACACGCCAACCAGCAGAGAAGCAGCAGGTCTGGTTTCTGCAAAGAGGGGATGTGGGGAGAGAGAGGCCGGGGGAGAGGCGGGTGGACTGGCATCCCCGAGGGCTGGGAGGCCAGGAGCTGCAGGGGACGGGAGGTAAGGGGAGAGGAGGAAGGGGTGGGGGTGTTCTCTTGTCTTCATATGATGTCAGGGCTGCTGCTGAGACTCCCAGGGGGGCCTCTACCAGGGACCAGTCACCTTAGTCTACCTGTCTCCCACTCGAGCCTGCAGGTAGGGGCCGATTCCCCTTTGATAACTGAGGAGACTGAGGCTCAGGGAGGTGGAGCCTGTTGGTTACAAACCCTCAGGCAAGGGACACCCAGACTGACACCCCAAAACCCATGTTCTATCCCTCTGCTGCCACTGAGCAGGGTCTCCTCCTGTCTGCAAAGCCAAACCAGAGCCCCACTGGCCCCTTACAACCTATGATTATGTCACT